AGATCCGAGACTCTGAGCTTTTCCTTTCGTTTGTAGAATCGATTTGTTTTTTTGCCATTTCTATCATCGCTTAGATGCACTTGATGGATATGTTTGTGTGCTTCCTTATTGGTATGGACTATGGAGTATAGGTGTAGCGGCACAAGAGTATGATCTTGCACTAATTATTTTAATACTGATACATACAGAAATGATCTGTTCACGTTTATTTTTTAATTAGCATTAAACTTTGAGTAACCTTCACAGAACTACAACTATTGTGATCTAATACCCATAGATCTGCAACTATTTTGACGTGTATCACAACAATAAACTATTTTAGCACTTGATACTATAGAATTACAACTTTCTAATAGCTACTCAGTGCCAAAACAATTGTAGTTTTGTGAAATTTACTCTTAAATCAGGAGGAGTTATTTGATGTGGTATTGAGGTTTTCATGTTAATCTTTGTAACTGTGGGGGAAAGAAAATGATGGTTTCTAATGTTAATACTTATGGATGGCGATTTACTTTTGACTAAGTTCCATTTTAATCATGCACCTTATTGTGAAAAGTGGTGACTTTAGGCATCATAGATCAAGTAGTTTAACTAACAAGGAATGAAGGAACCTGCAGAAAAACTATTTTAAAACACTATCTGTAGTGAGCATGAAGCAATGCTGTACCTTTTAGGTCAATTTCTTTGCGAATGATAAAAGAGTGAGCAGTTAATTGATGCATACTTGGGAAAATGCTAGCAAAACTGGTTCAACCGTCCCTGTTGAAACATCAATAGTACATTCACTCATCACTTTGCGGCTTTTGTTTGAGTTCTCATAGCGTCACCCCATCAGATATATACTATCGCTAGAGAGTTGAAACAATAATTATTAATGAATACACTTAATTTTATTTGCTACATTGTTGTAATGGTTTTGCTATATATGCATGTCAGTCTTTCCACTTTTCTTGTGGATTGTGATGTTGGACTGAGTAACGCTGTATTTTGGCTTTGTTTGACATGCTATTCATTTTTACCTCTGTATTTCAGGCTGCTATAGTTGGTAGAACTTTGAGGGTATTGCTCAGAGTTTTGCAGCACTTACTGCATCATGGAGCGAAGTCTAGTGGAAGGTATGCTTTACTCGTGCATGGAATACATTTTTACTAGTAGACAGCAACTGCATTTCACAGTTGAAGTAAATATGGTGCTTAGGTTTAGCACTGAACTCAAACAGTAATTAACTGATAATATATCAGATAGAGAAAATGAATCAAAGTTTCTAGTTCTTCTAAATTAACAGTCATGTTTTTTTTCTCTAATTCAAAATTCGACCTGGAATATTTCCCTAAATCTAAGCTGTAAAGTGATCAGTAGTGCTTCACTCGATATGTTTTGGGCTGCTAATCTTTCTTGATCTGTAAACCATGTGTTCCTTTCTGCTTCAGTTTTTAAATTTTCTTAGAGTGATATGGTGACATGGTTTCTAAATGAAATAAACTGGTTAGATTCTTTTTTATGCTGGAAATGTTTCTACTCAAGGGTGGCTTGCATAATGTTCTCCATTTTTTCTTGTTTACTATTGTAGGTTCCCATGCTTATGAACTTTAATTTGATTTTTCTCAGTGTACCCTCAGGAACAACGTTTCTGTTGAACCATATGTTAACATACACATGGAGAACAACCACAAAGACTGTTCCACGTTGCTGAGTCCACTGGATGCAGAAGATTCATTGAGACAGCATAATATGTTTCTTCCTTTTACTTTATGGAGTTCACTTTTCACTGCAATGCTTCAAATTGGGGTCAAGTACTCAGAAGAGACAATTCGTACTGATGCATTATCCATAATGATTCTCATTGTAAGGTCGACAGACCCCAAAGAGGAACGCCATAAGTAAGCAAGCATCTGAATGATGTTTCATTTGTTTAGTTGCTTATGATGTTGGATGTTAATGATATAATGCTTCTACTTTCAGATTCGGATTTACTTCTGTAATGACGAGATTGCATCTGCTATTGCAGAAAGAAAACGGATTGCTTGTTAAGAAGCATTCTGTGCGTCTACTTTTCTTGCTTCTGAATTGTAAGTACTTGTGCTTGTATGTTTGATTTCTTCACACTAGCTTTAGAACTGAAGATGCTAGCATGCAAGAACTGTTCTTGCCAGGTGAACACTGCAATGTGTGCATTCTGTGGACTAGCTACCTGGTACTCTTCTTTTTACTGATGCTTTTGCCTGGTTCTTGGGGACTTCTCAGCCCTCATAAGCATAAGGGAAATCGGTAGTGGAGCCTCTGTTTTTAATGGCTAGATTGAAAAACATGATTTGTTTGTTGGTGTAGTGTTAACTGTTTTTACCTAAGACATTTGTCCCACACCTTTCCTTTGATATGCTTATATAGAATTGAGTTCAGCTGTTGAGGGATCGGCTTAATGTAGGTTCCTCGTTAAAATAATTTTGTTTTCAGTTTCAAAGATATATTAAATCTGTTACACTTATGTACTCCCTCCGTCTAAATTATAAGTCGCTTTGACTTTTTTGGTACATCGATTTTGTTATATATCTAGACATATTGTTATATCTAGATGGAACGGAGGGAGTAGTAACTTTCCCTGCCTTTAATCCTCTCAATTGCAACCTAATTCCTGTTCTGTTAGGCCCAGTGATGTTGAAGTTGCTGTGTAGCGGAGGCAAAGATGGCTCCGAACAGATGGAATCGGAAGCTTGTGAAAACAATAGATCACAAGAAGTCATAAGCTCAGTTCTTGCGGATTTATCTGATTGTTTGACTTCTGAGGCAACTTGTTCTCTGGTAAGCTACTTAGCTCTTTTAGTTATTCATTCCGGATGGAAATCTGCATTTACATTTAGCCAGATTCTATTTTTCTGTCCACATGGTTTGAACATCGCAATGGGTTTTCACCTATCGCCGATAAACAAAAGGCGTTGCATGATATTCCCTGAAAACTTTTTTCACCTAGAGACTTTTTTTAGATTCAGCATAACTTGTTTATTTCACTTTAGCTAGCTGAACAACTGTATTTTTCAGGGGATTGAGCTTTGCCGGCTTGTTATCATTCTTCTAGCCTATATAGCTTCTAGTGGCAAATTGGGATATGATGTGCTTTTAGGCCCAGTGAGTGCCCGTGGTGCCAGTTTTTTGGAGATGATAATGGAAGTCCTTGCATCACAGATGCAATATGAAACACAAGAGTTACTAAAAGAAAGGTACATCAAACTTTGCTACCCCAGTCTTGTGCGTTCCTAGCTTGTTGTATCACAGCATGAATGTGGTGATATCACCGAGTAAATTCTAGATATGCCTAAGCTCATGAATTCTTCCTCTTCTGTTGGCAACTATCTTAAGCTGCAACTCCAAATTGGTCTTAGTTGTCTATGAAGAACTTGTCTGCGATTTGTTTTAGCATTAATATGAAAATCATTTCTGCAGGTGTTTGGTGATGAGGGAAGCTCTTATCCTCCTAAACCGGTTGGCATCACACACTAACTATTCAAAACCAACTTTGGAAGTGCTGACAAGAAGCAAGATATGCGCAATCTTGACGATCGACGTTGCAAACCGGTTGCCCCAGACCCGGATGGCAAATGATCTCGCTGAACTAGCACAGAAATTCAGATCGCGAGTGTATGCTTTCCTGGAGGAGAAACCCTTGACAGTTGAGGGTTCCAATCTGAGTGCTTCTAACAAGAGCTGAGGTACCCAGGAGGCCAGGAGCAGCCTGAGGTTGCTGGGATAGCACCATGGGAAGCATACGGGCAGCTGCTCGACAAAGTTTAGTTCCTTTTTCTTTTCTTACTAACCCTAGGGTTTACTTAGGAGTTAGACTGGGCTGGGGCGAGTCGGTAGCTTTTGCTGGTGGTGTACAGAGGCGACTGCTTCCTCGCCATTTTGGGGGAGAATGTGGTTGTACTACGTCAATGCAATGGAAATGTACATCATAATTGACCTTTGGACATCATCTTGTGGCTGTGGCATCGGCCATTGCAGCTTTCCATCGAGGGTGCAGGCAAGTGGTGTGTCCTTGCTTCATGAACATGCTGGTGCATAAGTGAAAAGGTGGGCTAGGCTGCTGGCATAACTAAAATCTGAGCTACAGTGACCGATAATATGATATAAAGCAATGTAAAGATAGCGAATGAATTATATCTTGAAGGAAGTATTCTGTGGAAGTAGCTGTTCATACTCCTTTCTAATCCACTCAAGCTCGGCGTTTGGGGAGGAGCCTTGTGACCTTATAGATTCAAAGTTGCCCAAGCTCCTCGCACTCAGCCTGGAATAACCGAGTAAGATCACGAAAGCTTTTAACAAAATTCGATTTAAACTGAGAAAATAATAATCAGTTTTTCTGTCATCATAAATAAATCGGTAACCGAGACGAAGAGAACTGATCGAAACAGAATTTCTTTTGTTATAATTTCGAATTTAAATATTTAAAATAATATCAGAAATAATATCGGGTTTTTTATATATATAAATGGTTGGCTTTATTAATATGAGAAAAATAATCTCGGTTTTAGTTGTCGGATAACCGAAATAACCGAGCAAACTAAAAATATGCGGAGAGGCCCAACCATAGCTCTCCCACGGCCTTATAACAGCCCAAGGCGGCCCAGCCAGACACCCCTCTGCTCCCACTCGAGGCGGCAGCACATCTTCCACAAGAGACCAGTCGCAGCGGCGTCCCCGTCCCCGCTTCCGCTCTATCCCAATTTGTTGCGGCGGGAGAGAGCAGCTCTAGACAAACACATTGCGCATAACCGGCGGCGGCGGCGGGAGAGGTAGCGGCGATGAGGATTGAGGAAGTGCAGTCGACTTCGAAGAAGCAGCGCATCGCCACCCACACCCACATCAAGGGCCTCGGCCTCGACGTAGCTGCCCCCGCTCCTCCGCTCCTCCTTCCTCCCCCTGGTTTTCTAGGGTTTTAGCTCTTCTGTGTGTTTGCGTAGTAGTTCCTCACTGTTTTTTTCCCCTTACGGGAGCAGGCCAATGGGATGGCGATTGCGTTGGCGGCGGGGTTCGTGGGCCAGGCGGCGGCGCGCGAGGCGGCCGGGCTGTCGGTCGACATGATTCGCCAGAAGAAGATGGCCGGCCGCGCGCTGCTCCTTGCGGGCCCGCCCGCCACTGGCAAGACGGCGCTAGCGCTTGGCATAGCGCAGGAGCTCGGCAGCAAGGTCCGTGCGTCCAGTTGCTCCTTTGTTTCACACTTATCAGCTGTTCATTGTGGTGGTAAAGATAGGGTTTATTACTTCCCCTTTGGCTTTGTTGTGGGTCATAATGTCCCATACCAATATCCTGCCATTGTAACAATATATGTGGATTGTGGTCTGCACATTTGTAAGGAAGAAAGAGGACCAGATTTTTATCTACTCAATTCTTCTATTCAACCATTGTTGTGGTATGTGGAGGTGAGGATAGGTTCTGATTACTGTGGGCTGTCCTCAGTTAATTCTCTGTTTGAACTGTTTATTATATATTACGCTGTTTGGTGAACAAGAAGCTCTGGATGGGCACAAAAAGAAAAAGAATTTTTTAGCTAGTTCATAGCGATCTCGAGGTAGTTTAGCATACTTAACGTCATTTTAGCTGTGTCGTTTATCTTTTCTGTTCAGCTAGCTGAATTGGTGGTTTAGAGGGACAGTTTGTCCGGTAAAATGTTATTGATGTTGCTAAGTTGTTATGTTTGCTGAGTTCACTGTAGCACTTATATTCTAATCTTCTAATTTTCCTTCCCCTGTCACTACAATGCAGGTCCCTTTCTGTCCTATGGTAGGATCAGAAGTGTACTCCACAGAGGTCAAGAAAACTGAGGTGCTGATGGAAAATTTCCGTAGAGCTATAGGTTTGCGTATGAAGGAAAACAAAGAGGTTTACGAAGGAGAGGTAAGCAATGCATATATGCCCATGTCCAAGTTAAACAAATACTAGGCTATAATAAATTAGTGGGTCTCCTTTATTTATCAACAGTTTTCATTATCGCTTTGATAACTGATGTTCACTTCTTGCTGCTTTAATAGATTTACCAATGTTGCTCTGTTCCTAGGTTACTGAACTTTCCCCAGAAGAGGCCGAGAGTACAACCGGTGGATATGCAAAAGCATTAGCCATGTAATCATTGGCCTAAAGACTGTTAAAGGACTAAGCAACTGAAGTTAGATCCTTCAATTTATGATGCTTTGATCAAGGAAAAGGTAACTGCCTGCTTCCTTACCTATCCTGCTGGTGGTAGACTTTTGGATTAGATTTTTACTCTTCAATAACAATGGGCGGTCTAATTGTTTCTTACTCAGAATAACGTCTTGATGAACGTTTTAAATCTGCTCTGCCTATTGATAATTTACTCATTGGAAAAAATTTATGTGAATTCACCGGCAGATGTCCTGTTGTCTTATGACTAGTCCTGGTGCTGAGTGGCTCCTTAAACATTGAGAAATCATGCACTATACTTTCTGGGTTACTGTATCTATTCTGCTATCTGCATCTGTTGCTTTAGGTTACTTATTGTCTGCATATGGATATAGGTGGCAGTAGGTGATGTTATATACATCGAAGCAAATAGTGGAGCAGTGAAAAGAGTTGGTAGATGTGATTCTTTTGCTACAGAATACGATCTTGAAGCTGAAGAGTATGTTCCTATCCCCAAAGGTGAAGTCCATAAGAAAAGGAAATAGTGCAGGTATCATTCTGATGCTATCTTAACCTTAACATTTCATTATTTTCTGCAGCGGTCTTTTTTCACATGGTACCTTCTTTAGTGAATGTTATCATGATTGAAACAAATCTTTTCACTATTGAAACAGTATACTCCTCAAGATGTAACTTTGACCAATAATTCTATCATAAATTGCTGACTAATTTCCTTCACAAGATGTTGGTGAAGCTATAGCAGTACAGTATTGCAAGTTGATATGTTGACGATAGCTGCTTGCTACAATCAATTTTAGCTACAAAAGTTTATAGACCTTCCTGCAAAATTGCTGGCCACCTTGTTCATCTTTTTTTTCTATGATGGAAACTGCTGTGTGGTTTACAAATCAGCTAATTGGGAGGTAGTATAAGATGGGCTCACCAGATTTCCAGAACTACAAATATTGAAGAGTCTTAGTGCAATGCTAGTGACTGTTGCTTCCTTGGTAGAATATATATACATGAATAAAGGTCACAAACAACGGTTATCAAGGAGATCACCATTGGCCATCAGCCCAAGTCCTTTCAACAAGAATCTCTTAGAGTTCATTAACTTGGTTCTATCATTGCTGCTTTTGGTAATGTTAGTAAATAAACAGTTGAAAGCTTGCTGGTAGATTACCTGATCGACTGATCATTTATTATCACAAGGATGATATTTTACTAATGCAATTTTTAATAAGAATTAATGCTCGTATTTGCATCTCAACATGGAGGTTTCCTGTATTCTATGCTCTTGTTCTGAAGAGGAAATAACCTTCTCACCATTGTATGCAGGATGTCACACTTCATGACCTTGATGCAGCAAATGCTCAGCCACAAGGCGGCCAAGATATTTTGTCCCTTATGGGCCAGATGATGAAGCCACGAAGACTGAAATCACCGAAAAGCTACGCCAAGAGATTAATAAGGTTTTCTTCTTTTATTCGACTAACAATTTTTAGTTTTCTAGGCAGTATCAAATTTGGATATCCATATAAGAATTTTCACCTGATATTTTTAATTTTATATGGTGACAGGTGGTAAACAGATATATTGATTTAAGGAATTGCAGAGCTTGTACCTGGTGTTTTGTTCATTGATGAGGTATTATTTTATTGCATTTGTGATTGAAAAATCCACTTGTCATGTCCTAATAAAAAGAAAATAAGTAGAAAGTGCATTGGTTTTGTTGATTGCTAAACATATTTTTCCGCCTCTCATGGTGCAGCGCCACAATTGTTGGACTTGATTGTGTCGGACTGTCTTCTGGCTATTTAAAATCAATTAATAAAATATCATTTTCAGGTCCACATGTTGGATATTGAATGCTTTTCTTATCTTAACCGTGCACTGGAGAGCCCATTATCACCAATTGTGATACTTGCTACGAATAGGGGAATATGTAATGTAAGGTAAGCAGTTTATTTGCCAGAGTACTCTGCAAGTCTGCAGCTAACTTCAATACCCAGCATAAATCTGTACTTGTCTATTAAGTTGCACCTTAATTAATTAATTATTTGCTTAATGAATCTTGTTTTGGTTTTATCTAGAGGAACTGATATGACAAGTCCACATGGTATGCCAGTGGATCTTCTAGATAGGTTGGTGATTATTCGGACAGAAACATATGGTCCTACTGAGATGATACAGGTTCTTACTTATTTTGGGCATCATTTTGATCAGTTTTTTCCTGTCCAGAATTTGCATCATCCTTTGTTTGTTGCCTTTCACAGATATTGGCTATCCGAGCACAAGTGGAAGAGATTGATATCGATGAAGAAAGTCTTGCTTATTTAGGCGAGATTGGACAGCAGACATCGTTGAGGTTAGATTTTGTATTGTTCTTTGGTATTTTCTATGGATTAGTTCCTCCTTAGAAGTTAGGCATGCATCTCATAACCTGTTCATCACTCTTAGAGTTGATCTCACTGTAGTGTTTGATATTGCAAGCGATTTCTCCTTCCTTCCCTCCCTCCATAACTAGTGAGAAATGATGGTAACAGATCTTATTCTCTTTGCAGACATGCTATTCAGTTGCTATCACCTGCCAGCGTGGTCGCAAAGACTAATGGAAGAGAAAAGATCTGCAAGGTATATCTACCGAGCTTTCATTGCTAGCTGATTCTTGTTCTCGCAAGGTTACAATCTCTGAGCTTATATATCAATATATGATCTCTATCAGGCTGATCTCGAGGAAGTTAGTGGGCTCTATTTGGATGCCAAATCCTCGGCTCGCCTGCTCCAGGAGCAACAAGAAAGATACATCACCTAGATTTCTCCTGCTGTGGAAGTCTCGAAGAGAATGTAGTTGCAAGCTCGATCTGCTTTAGAAGTTCATAGTCTACTAGTCTTGGAGATAGCACATTTCGGGGGGAACGGTTTGAATTTTGTAGTGCCTGCTTGTGTTAGTCTCCAGCGAAGACTTGATTCCGGCATATTGCTTGTTCACACACTGTTCACTGATTAGATTGATCATCGGTGCAGGAATTGCCGTGTGTATTTTTCACCCTTGCTAATGGATGTCCAGAATCTGTGTGCCCACAGTTTTAGCAATACTTACGCCAATTTTCTCTAGTTTTAGTGCATCCCCTCTTAAAAATTCTCTTAATTAGTTTTAGTGCAAGGCTGATAGACTTCATTCGACCCGCCCAATTATTGATTCAGTATTGTTCTGCTCCTCGGATGTGTTTTTTAATCTTAAAACTATCTGATAACTAATAATCTTTTATTTGTAATTATAATCTATCTGCATTCTCTCCTTGGAGGTGCCTTCTAAATCTGATAACAAAATTGAAAACTATCTAACAAGCAATGCTCCCCAGTTACCTTCTCTTACCTTGTCAAACTATCTACATAGTTTCCTTCCAAGTCTGAAAACAACAAAGTGAAAAAGAAAAGGAAAGCAGTAAACATTGGCCAGAACTTCATAGCTCCTAGGCAATACAGATGCAGGATGAATTCATATAGCTTCTATTATTATGATAATGGTAATAATACTAAAAGTATCCAAGCGTCGTTCTTCTTAGTTTGTACGGACCAGCTTGTGCACGGCACCTCGCTTTCACCAACCAACATTGAGCAAGCATGGTGAATCACACGTTGGAGTAACTAGATTAATTAGCGAGGAAACATGAGTAATTTTGAGCTTAAGAAACTTTTCAAAAAAAAAAAATCAAGCTTAAGAAGAGGGCGAGGAAACAGGAAGATGAGCGGCAGGGTTGACGACAGAGGCACAGAGCTGCTAGCTGCTAGCTTCTGCGTTTACCATGCATGTGACAGTGCATCCACCAAAGGAAGAAGAGAACCTTCTCCTGTCCGTCGATGTCACTGCCACTGTGTCCCAACAACGATGGCGTGGACTCTCCCGCCTCTTGGATAGTGGAGGAGCCGTATTTTTTACTATTTAACCCTTTTTCGAAGAAAATTTATATTTGGCCCCTGGAAGACTTAAACTCATCTTTGGACCCCTGGGTGGCGCCATGTGGCGCCGGCGACGCGCGTGTTACCTCGGCGCCAGGGACTCATGGCGTCGACCCCAGAGGTCCAAAGATGAGTTTAACGTCGACCCCTAGGGTCCAAAGATGAGTTTAAGTCTCTCAGGGGGACATATGTAAATTTTATTAAAAAAGGGTTAAATAGTAAAAAATTAGGGTGGAGGAGAAACCCTTGACGACTTGGGCCTTGAGGTTACAGTATTCTTACTTGGGCCAGGTTTGCGGACAACCGAAGGCCAAGGGCCTGCTCCCGAGCCCAACGGGCTAATTAACAGCAGCAGACCTTAACAACATGCTGCAGGATCACACAGATTAACAGCCATCGGTTTAGTACCAAATCGGTACCCTAACCATGCTTGAGCCTAGGAGGAGCTACAAAACAAGCCACAAGTGCAATCTTGATCCATACTTACCTGGATGGGGTCTATGGCTGATCATGAAGGGTCATGGCCTAGGTTAGCGGCTTCCATTGCACTTGGGAAGAACGCTTGCCTACCATCTCCTCAAGTAGGAGAGTGGACGTCGTAATTTGTGGAAGAGGGGGTACGCGTTCGCGCGGCCCCTACCAATTGTGAAGATAAATATTTAAATTTAATTAATTTAAATTTAAAAAGACCATATTTATAAAATATATAAAAATATGCTATATCTTACCCTGCCATTTGTTATGCGATATATTTGGAAATTATAAACCATTTTTCTTCATACTAATCCTACGGACTGTTTTCCTAACCATTTTGGGAGAGAGATTGTTTTCCTAACCATTTTGGGAGAGTGTAGTATGGTAGCTGGTGCTGGTGCAGAGACTGTTTCACTTTGTCCATACTAACATATCTGAGTTTTAATCCAATGTTTCATGATCACACCAAATATATTAAAGTGGATTTTCACTTTGTCCATGAGAAGGTTGTTCTTGGTGCTCTTGAGGTTCGGCTCATCTCTTCCGTTTGATCAAGTTGCCGACATTTTCACCAAACCTGCTACCAAGCATCAGATGTTACAACAATCACACATCAATCTCAACCTTGTGGCCACCGGTTAAAATTCCGGGGGATGTTAACCATGGAAGCTGTGGTACTCGGCAATGGCTAGATAATGCTGATTGGTGATTGTTACATGTTTAGTAGCTGATCATTAGTTGCAATTATGATTATAATCTTGTACTATTTCTTACTGTAAAATTGTCACTTGATGTAACATAAATACATACCAATCCTCATTGGTTGAGCACGGTTGGCATGCATCACACGCTAACTACTATTCCAAAACCAACTTTGCCAGGCATGTATGCGGTATGCATGGCAAATGATCTCACCGAGCTGGCCCACAAGTTGACAGATTGGGCCTTGGGGCACAACTATTCTCATTTGGGCGATCGAAGGGCCTGCTCCCGAAACATGTAACGAAACATGTTTATGTCAGCATCGTCCTTTTTGACATTATCTTATGGCAGCTTTTCTCTTGGTCTGGATGATGGGTAAGCAATTGAGAATACTGGATGGGCAAATTCTTTATGGGCCGACCGAACCTATGGACATGGATGCCCAATTGCCCACGGAGGATGCAGGCAATTGGTGTACTACCTTGCACCTGCGCACAGAGCTGCTTTCTTGTTTTGGTTTCTACAAATCAAGCTGTAGTCCATCTCGAACAACATCAAGTGAGTTTTTCCTTTTTGTCTGTAATTCCTAAATTACTAGTACAGCAGTGAGGGCATATATTATATTATATACATGCCGTCAGAGACATTAGCCAGTCAAGGAGGTAGAGTTACATAAACAATTCTCTCTTTCCTATGTTGTGTTCGACAATGCTCAAGAAAATAAATAGCAATGTGCATTCCAAGAATCCTGAGCTAAACGGGTCAAGACTGGGCATCGGAATCAGGTTGCTTCTTGTAGCTGCCGTCGCCGTCGTTCTTTTCATTCATATCAGGAATCGAATCACTGGTGGCCCCCAGCTTTTCCTGCAAATACCATACCAACACTGAACTGAGGCCAACAACTATAGCAGAAAAAAAAAACATCTGAAAAAAGTCACAATCACCCTAGCAATATGTAGAATAATTCAAGGCATCGCAAGATGTACCAACGATATTGCCAGTTTCTGCATAACTGAGGAGGTGATCTAGCATAACTGAAAATCTGAGCTACCATGACTGATAATATCAAATGACAATATAGAGATAGCAAACGAATGATACCTTGAGGGAAGCATTCTGTGAAAGTAGCTGTTCATACTCCTTTCTGATCCGCTCAAGCTCGGCCCTGAGAGAGGAGTTCTCCGACCGCAAAGCTTCAGCACGTTGCCCAAGCTCCTCGCACTCAGCCTGAAATAACCAAATAAGATCACGAAAGCATTGAACAAAATCCTCTTGGAACTGAGAAGATGAAATCCAGGTAGCAGGATGTCAGCATGAGCGTTGCACAACACCTGCTTGCGCAGCCGGGATCTGCGTGCTGATTCTCTATTAGACTGCTTTCGCTTTTGCTTCTTGAGTTCCCTTTCATCCTAAATATTGCCATGATACAAACACAGCTTGTGGTGAATAGATTTTCCTATATTGAAATGCACACAAAAGCACTAATATAAATACAGCAGCATTGAAGCGCGGTATCCTTGTTAGTATCTTATATTTACCACACTCGAAGCACCGTAAGATAGACTAAAACTTCTCAGAGCACTTCAGAAGATGGCGATGCTATAATTTATCTTATTTTTTAAGTTTAAACGATGGTGTTTGAAAAAACAACAACAACAACAACAAAGCCTTTAAGTCCCAAACAAGTTGGGGTAGACTAGAGTTAAAACCCAGCAGAAGCAATCAAGGTTCAGGCACGTGAATAGCTGTTTTCTAAGCACTCCTATCTAAGGCTAAGTCTTTGGGTATATTCCATCCTTTCAAGTCTCCTTTTATTGCCTCTACCCAAGTCAACTTCGGTCTTCCTCTGCCTCTCTTCACGTTACTATCCTGGCTTAGAATTCCATTACGCACCGGTGCCTCTGGAGGTCTCCGTTGGACATGTCCAAGCCATCTCAACCGGTGTTGGACAAGCTTTTCTTCAATTGGTGCTACCCCTAATCTATCACGTATATCATCGTTCCGAACTCGATCCCTTCTTGTACGACCGCAATTCCAACGCAACATACGTATTTCTGTGACACTTATCTGTTGAACATGTCGTCTTTTCGTAAGCCAACATTCTGCACCATACAACATAGCAGGTCTAATCGCCATCCTATAAAACTTGTCTTTTAGCTTCTGTGGTACCCTTTTGTCACATAGGACACCAGATGCTTGGTGCCACTTCATCAACCCTGCTTTGATTCTATGGCTAACATCTTCATCAATATCCCCGTCTCTCTATAGCATTGATCCTAAATATCGAAAGGTATCCTTTCTAGGCACTACTTGACCTTCCAAACTAATATCTTTCTCCTCCCGAGTAGTAGTGCCGAAGTCACATCTCATATACTCAGTTTTAGTTCTACTGAGTCTAAAACCTTTGAACTCCAAAGTCTCCCGCCATAACTCTAGTTTCTGATTCACTTCTGTCCGGCTTTCATCAACTAGCACTACATCGTCCGCGAAAAGCATACACCAAGGGATGTCCCAAGGGGTGTTTGAAACAAGTACAAGAAATTTTTAGATGAACATGGAAAATGGAAACAATAGGACATCAAATAGTTTCGCTCAGTGGACTCATTATATTTTTCAAGAATAAAATGGGCGAGCTGTCTATGTTTATATTAGGTTGGAAATAAATAAAACAGAGTT